AATACACGATAAACTAGCGATTGGACCATACTTCTCATAATGTAAATAGACCTGGGACCGCGGTTCAATGTTTCAATTTGCTCTTTACGCATTGTTCAGGCTATCATAACTAGCTATGACCGACGTGACGATTTCTTAAGCCCTGGTTAAACAAGGTATTCAAATGAAATTACGTTCTCGAAAGCAGTCAATTATGTATCCCAAACTGGATCAAGCGTGCGCCCTATTTTTTCTAAACATTCCGAAGCGTTCCGCACAGCATTACGATTTTCTACTGTAGTAGCCTGGGTTAAATCGTAATGTCTTTTCTCGCACAAGACTCAACTGTACTCTTGCACTCGGGTGCACACCTTAATAGATCATGTGCGATCGAGGTTATCCCGGCAAGAAACAAACGGATTGTTTTTAACTGGAACAAGCTCACCTAATACAATCAGCATGGAACCACTAACACAACTTTAAATAAATTTTGGAAAATTTAGAATAGAGACAAAAGTAAAAAATATTCACAACCACATAAAAACACATAAACAGGAAACATGGCACTCTTCCTAATACAAAACCCACCACCATAAAACCTCCATCATTATAACATTATAAACAGCGAAATTATCTGCATACATCTGATTTATGAAAAAAAAATATAAAATACGATTAGGCACAAGTCCATTTGGTGCGCAACCACTTTTTCCTTGCATTATAGTAGCTAAGCGATGAGAAATTTACCCAGTGAAGCTTATGCAAAAGTATCCCTTCTTTCAAGAAATTTTCATTTTAATTGTAATTTTGAATTTTTGATTTGATTTTGTCCGAGTCTTGTCACTATTAAAAAGGCATAAAAAGTAACAAGGACTAAGATGTGTTCCTTTGATTACTGAAAAATCCTGTTTCCCTAGTTTAAAGTTGTCAGGACTAGGGTTCGGAGTTGATCTTATACCAGTACCAGTCTTATAGCGTTACTGGTTCCATGTCTCCTATGCATAAAGGGAGACATTTACTCATCCTGTCAATTACAAGTTGTAGGCATTGAAATTCATCATTAACAAGGTGACCGACTTTTTCACTCCCATAGGAGAAGACACTAAACTTCCGACGGAACCGACAACAGTGAAAACCCAAAACACAATTGCAACGAGTGGAATTCTTCTGAAAATTCTCCAGGCCATATTGTTTTTTTTTTTGACCATTAGATCCTTTATTTCGCAAACTTTTTAGGAAAAAAATGCTAACAAGTAGCAGACCACCTACAGCCAAAAATTGAAAAAAAAATATTATAAGCAACTGACAATTGAAATTTGTTACCGTCCGTTTAGAACTTATGAGCAATCAGTTACATTTTTGCTAAACATCAGCCACGATTGAATTGATTTTTTTTAATGTGGCGTAGGGTTTGCGATATAATTTCCTTCCTACTAAGCACAACCCGCACTCTCCTTTTCGAACGGATATAAACCCAAAATGGAATGATTCTACTATAGATGACTACCAAATTTATTTACCTTTCTGTACGTACCGTTATATTTGCTAAAGAGTGACAAATTGCCACGGTATTGTTAGAAATCTTGATTCCAAATTCGTTCTTCGAGTTTCAATGAAAAATGCACTTTTGAAATGCTTGGACACTTAAAAAATGACAAAAATTCTGTAACAATAAGTTGTGGTTGATTTTTTTACTATTGTTTCATGCAATATTTTTGGCGTGCCCTTTATTCGAAATTAAGTGTTTTCCAATGAAATCCAAAGTTAGCAAACCAAATCTGATCATCCAACAAATCCCATGATTCGCTAAATCTCTAAAAGCCTTTAAATAAACAAATTCCCAAAAACAACGATATCAGCATGGCATCATTTTGCGTCACCGCTTGCGCTACCCATAGAAAGTTTGGCAAATGCACGTACAGTATGTAAGAGAATTAAACGCACCTCCTGACATCTTTAAGATCTTTTCTTTGCATACAGAAAATAAGTGGAAAGTATCATCCGAATCTGAGAAGATCGTGCAATACACTTTGAATGTAGTGTTGTTTCGTGAGTATCGTGCAAGATTTCAACACTTTCTGTAATATTCGACCTGCTAGTTGCTCTATACTTAAGGTTATCTTGAGCTGAAATGCATCTTCATGGAGTGGAGAGGATTCAATCCTGAGTTATCATCAGCACCACAGTTAGACCACAAATCACAGACAAAAACAGACATAGCTCTCGCATGACTTTTCTTAGTGGCGCTTTGTCAATTCCCTTGCGTTTGACGTTTACACACTACCGCCACATGATGAGCGTACTGCCCGTCACAGTGTACTGAATAGATGACGGTAGTGTTTTATCGACGATGTTTTATAGTGTTTTTCACTATAAAACATCGTCGATAAAACACTACCTAATGCAATGTGCTATGTCTGTTTGTCTGTGCACAACATGTTGAAAGTAGATACTGTGATTACATAATAATACCTACCGAATTTGCGATCAGTTTGATAGTGAGCAACAGGCCCTTATGCTCACTGACGAATTGATCGCATAATCGACATATCACATCAGACGGAGGGGCGTGTTTTTATTTAATTTCACAAGCTATACATTTGCCTACCACGGCACCGTTCGACGGCACCGTGTTTTAACGCACTTCAGACAGTTGCTTATGGGATTTTCCGCTGGAGTGAAAGGATAAGAAACAAGTCACCATGTTTCACACGTAGACTGCCAACTGTCTGTTACAGGATTTTCTCATACAGTTGGAGTAAAGAGCTACAGAGTCGTCGACAACGCGAATAAAGTGTCGATGAATATACGAGATAATAATAACCTATCTCGGGCGTTTGGCATAGAAACTTTTACTGTGAAACAAATTCATCTCTACCAGTCGTAAATATTGCACATTAGAAAACCGTCTATGACGCAGCAGATCTTCGTCGCTCATCGTTGCTGGATTGAGGGGGTCAATTTTAGAACCAACGCATTTGCCTTTGGTACCATCTAGTGACAGCATTTAAACCGGCCGGCACGACTTTGTTTTTGAAAGTCAACACGAAAAACAAAAATGAAATGTATGCATTTTCCGAACATGTGAGCGCTACATCCGATGGTTTTAGAATATAGGTGACAGATGTGTCGCTATTTTTGGAACATTCAACAGTCGAATCGCGTTCATTTGCATGCTAGCAATTCGGCACACTTTTTCCGCTTAGGACACCGATTTAAGATGACAATCGAACAGCCGGAGAAGAATCACACGGTAGAGCACTTAATTACCCACTGTTGATTTGCGTGTCAGCCGCTGTTCAAACGGTCAAAGAGAAATATCGAATGTCAGAATTGTTGCTCCGGAGCGTTTCGCAAAATAAAATTAATGAAACCGAAGGGAATGCCGTCATCATTCAGCTTGCCAATTAGTATAGGTTAAAGAAAACGTTCAATCGCGTTCAATCACAAACCAAAGGTGTAATTACAGCTGACGAGAGTGTGACCGGAGCGTGCATAAATTACCACGAACGTGCCATTAGCCATCGGTAATGATGCACTTGTTGACGCATTAATCCTAGCGATAGAGAATGAAGGTTGGATATCGATGTGTTATGGTAATTGCATTTTGATTGAGCATGAATTCGATATTAATATTGATTCAGTTATAACAATCAAATGATACAGTCCTTCTTTTTCTTCTCCATCTTGTGACTACTACGCCTTTACTGGAATATAACGCCTGCTCTAAGCTTTGTGTTTTTTCGAAAACTTCCACAGCTGTCTAACCCTCAATCAGTTATGCATTCGTATATTTTGTGATGCAAAAAAAAAATGGCACAGACTTGGAAAACTCGCAATGAGAAAGTGCTCATTAAACAACAAGTTGAAGACAGGCGTAAATTTCCAGTTCCAGACTTAATCAATGAAACAAACTTCTGGCGAATCGAACCAAATGTTAAAAGTTCATCTGGCTCTGGCTCTGGCTTGGCAGCTAAATCAAGTGTAATTCTCGATGGCAGATCTTGATTAATGTCAAGCATAACGAAAACTAATCATTCTCGATGGGGCTAATAAATTTTCTGCCCATCATTTCATCATTTCCGCTCAGTCATTTCAAATTTTCCCCAGCACGCGAACCATCCATTAACTAATCCTACCTCTTACCTCTTACCTCAATGAGATGGGAACCGGAAAAAAGGATCAATAGATATCCGAAAGAGAAGCAATTTAGAAAATCTTATCTACTTTCATTCCGCACATCTCTGCCTCTCCAAGATCGATGATTGTTCGACGTATATCCGTGCGGCTGTTCATTGCAATTCCCGGACAGCAATTACTGGAACTTGCCAAAGAGCACGTCGCCTTCGTCGTTGCCGTCACCGTCCCCGTTTGGTTCTTTGGTTCGTTGGAATAGCACAAATCCCTGATGAGCTATATATACGGCGTATTGCGAGAAAGAAAAGCCAGCGCAATCTATCACTTTGCAATATATCTGATAGCAGCGAGTGAAGCAGCAGCAACAATAACAACAACAGCAGTCAGGGAAAAAAGCCACCCAACTTCCAATCCAACTCGATCCGATCCTTCGTTGGTCGTTGTAAAGTTTACATCCGCATACCGCGTTTATGTAACACGAAATCGAATTTCACCCTTGTTCACTGTCCCCTTCCCTCACACGACCGTTCCCTATCGCGCTCTCTCGCTCTCTCGCTGTTACTCGTTCAATCGCTCTTCAAGCGCGATCCCACGGTTTTCCTTCAATTTTGTTTTTCTTTTTGCATGCAACAAGGACGATGACGACGACGACGACGACGACGACGATGACGACGACGACGACGATGACGACGGTGACTACTTGAATTGGGTGGGCATTGGAAAATACACACAACCCAACCAGACAGAGGGTGTGTGATGTTGGTTTCTTCGGTGCAGCACATGGAATGATTGCGGTCGGCTCTGTGAGGCTATGACTGTATGTTGACTGTGGTGTGTTATGGTGGTAAAGTGGTGATACATATAAAAGTTGAAAGTTCACAAACCCGGCTCAACTGTGAGGGCGATCAGAATGATTAGCATAAAAATCGCATAAAATTTATTCATTTTATCCGATTTTTTGTTGTCACTTGTTCACCACTGGAAATCCATTAATAGAAACTGCAATAGGAAGGAAAACATAGTGTAAGAGAGAGAGAGAGAAAGAGAACGTGTCAATTGAAGAGGATACAGAAGGAGAGAGCGAGGATAAGCCTTGCCAGCTACGGTGTGTCGGTTATGTCGGTGCTGTTTTCGTTCGGAGGAAAATGTCCTTTCTTGGAAGGAGAAATGTCACTACTGCCTCAGTTGACCCTCAGCTGAACGATCGGTCAAGTTAGAAAATGCCGGATGGTGTATTTGCAGTACAACGATGGATTGTCGAAAAATGGTTTTGTTATATTTGAAGTAATGCTTCTTACGACAGTGTTATTTGAAATCATATAGCTTTTGACTGGAAGTTATTTCACTAAAACTAGTTTTTTACCGCATTTATTATTTAATGATTTTGACAAAACACTCTGGATTTGAATCTACTGCATGCTCAGTTATCAACAAAAAAACATCTCATTAATTTCTTAATAACGCATAAAAGTGTTCTATTTATTTCTACTGCAAAACGCTTTTAGCGACATATGAATAAACTTGTACCAATTTTTGTCACAAGCCTACACAAATCATATTCTTTCTACTGTCTGTATTGCATAAAGACTAATTTCACAGATCATTTTCAGGCTCTTCTGTATCAATTGATAATCCATGGAAATTTTATTACTAAGTTACCCGCCTTTCTTATAAACGTGGTATACTTGAACAACTCTTTCCAAGTTATGATCGCGAGGTTTAAAATTGATCAAAATGTGCATATTGAAACCAGAACTGCAGAACTTATCTAACTGAATAACGCTCAGTCGAATTCTTCAAGCCTATATCCGTTCGGGATTTCGTGATGAATGAAAAAATAATAATAGATCAATAATCGCAACTACAGGAGGCGCACCAGTGGCCTTACTTTAAATGTTCACCAATTTTTGCAGTTTCCCTGTCTGGGGTACGCGTACACTATCCCAACATTTAAATGTTTGAATAATAATTTTCACAATTATTACAAAATTCTCAAAAACGTTTTTGCTTAAATGGTTCTAAAAATTAAATTATTCACATATTTTATCACAATAGAATTGTAGCGTTTTGAATTTTATCAAAGAGTATTCACATTGCAGGTTTATGAAACTAATAACGATTATTTCAAATCCTGTAGCAACGACTCAAAGGCATTTTTTCCCTTGATTTGTGTTCCATCGATCTTGTTTTTCGTACCGACGCCAAGGAGGCTGCTTCCACACCTGGACCCTACCTATCGACCCATAAATTCATGGACCGGTGACCAACGGCTTTACTTCCTTTCTGAAGGAAGGCGTGATCAGAGATGTTATGCCTCGAAAGTTTTCGAAACCTCAGTTTTTTAAAATAAGTTTGAGTATCAAAATCATACAAATATTCAAATATATTTATGCTGAAGGCTATTGGTCTGAATTCCGATGTGAAAAAAGATTGATCTAAGCGATTGTGTAAGAAATCTTGAACATGAAATAATAGCTGACATTTAATATGTGATCTACTAGCGGCGCCGGTGGTGTAGTGGTAAGCGTAATTGCCTCTCACCTCAAAGAGCCAGGGTTCAATCCCTGAGGCATAACATCTCTGATCACGGGAAGTAAAAGCTGTTGGTCCCTAGTCCATGTGTCCAATAAATCAAGGAAAAAAAAAAGATGTGATCTTGATACTTCAGTGAATTTTCAAAATTCTGAGACGCTAAAAAATAAACATAAGATTTTTTGACCTTTTTTAGCAGATTTCAAGACTTGGAAAATCTCCCACGATATGAAAAAACCCTGGTTTAAAATTTTTCAGTATTTTTATTGATTGATTCTGCAACAGAGAGAAATATTTAAGTTGTCAGACTTTGAAAAATTTCAACATCCTCAAGGACGTAGCCAGGTTTTCAACTAGGGAGGAGGTGACATTTGTTTCACTATGGAGGATTTGAACTAATGCCATTGGCGTTGACGGCACCGTCGAAAAATTTGCTCTTCCAGCAAATTTAGATAGTTTCTTATGGGAATTTTCGGTGGAGTGAAAGGATAGTACAAAGTCCGCCATGTTTCACGCACAGTCTGACGTTTGCTTATGGATTTTCTCATAGGAGTAAAGAGCTACAGAGTCACCGTCAACGCCAATTAAGCTGGAGCAGTGCTGATAAAAATCATTTCTTCTACACTCAAATCAAGCTGAACATTGCATTCGGTCCTAAGTACATTGACAAATTCTCTACTTTGACTTTCTCTTTGTATCCCCACGGCCATATAAAGACATTCCCATGTATTTTCAGCACATAGATCGATAAAATAAGCTTTTCTCTAGCATATAATACGACAAACACATCAAGCAACGGTTCAGTGAAAATCGACGAAAAGAATCGATCAATGTTACTTAGGACCTAATGCAATGTTCAGCTTGAAATAGGCTGAAAATGAAGGCAACCTTGAAAGATAAACCAACTAGCTGCATGAATTTGAATTTTAACATTATGACATGCTCTTGATCAAGGCAACCGCAGAGTTGTTCATTCAAAGAAGGATGATTTTGAGTATCAAATGCGAAATGATTATTTTCATTTTACAAAAATATACCGTTGTGGAACGTGTTATGTTGCTTTGTTTAGTCAAATCGATGGAAGATTATTGCCTTTTGCAGAATTGATGATAATACCCAACAAACAATTGAGAGCTCTTATAAAACACCTGAGTTGATCAAACGTTGAATAATAGCTTCCAGAGTTGAACAAGTATGTAGTTGTATTGCCTTTTTGGTTAAAAGTTTTAAAAGCTGTTGGAGCACTCTTAAATGATTGTTTACGTTCGGTTAAACTGTTTGACAGGAGCCATATAGGATGTGGAATAAACGCATCAAAACAAACCATTGGAAGCTCTTATAAAACACCTGAGTTGATCAAACGTTGAATAATAGCTTCCAGAGTTGTACAAGAATGTAGTTGTATTGCCTTTTTGGTTAAACGCTTCAAAAGCTGCTTGGAGCACTCTTAAATGATTGTTTACGTTCGACCAACCACCAACCACAATTTTGTTGCTAAAAATAGCACAAGTGATAGGCACGTTTATATGACCATAAGGCAATGATTATTCGACTGCAAGAGAAGTCACTCCAGATGAGTTTCATATACTTCTCTCATATGATCAAAATATGTATTCAAGAATAGAGCAGATGGAAACAGAAGCGGCTGGCAATCCGGGATCATGAGTTCGAATCTTGCTTCGAGAAACCCTCGGTGGAGTAGAGGTAAATTATATATAGGTTTAATAACACCAAACATTAATTTAAGACATATATCATATAATCAACGATAACATTTCTAGATAAATTCTCTCAATTAATGATTAGAGAGATTAATTAAAAAAAATCAATCAAAGATTAAACAGATGCTTGTTACTACTACCTCCATGATCACAGATTCACATTCACATTATGGCATAATTACATATTTTTTCAATGTGCACAAATAAATTAAATTAATAAAAACTGTACAAGCAATTATTTTGGCGTACCACGACAATTGTTAAACTAATTTTAATCTGTGAATATTGTGAGTACTTACACAACGGTTATTAAGGAGTCATTGAAAAGTGCTATAAACGCTTTTCACCGCTTGCTGTACAATGATTATTTAGGAGTCATAAAAGAGTGCAACAAACGCCTCTCAGGTTTACTCTCTACTAAATTTCAAAGCAGCTGTCAAGAAGTGTCTACAAACGTTGTATTAGAGCTTTCACCAAAACAATAAAGCTTGACTTTAAATATGTATCTATAAACGTTGTATAAAAGTTGCTTCTATCCGGTTATTAAGGAGTCATTGAAAAGTGCTATAAACGCTTTTCACCGCTTGCTGTACAATGATTATTTAGGAGTCATAAAAGAGTGCAACAAACGCCTCTCAGGTTTACTCTCTACTAAATTTCAAAGCAGCTGTCAAGAAGTGTCTACAAACGTTGTATAAGAGCTTTCACCAAAATAATAAAGCTTGAGTTTAAATATGCATCTATAAACGTTGTATAAAGGTTGCTTCTACTCCTATACCGCGTATACATATAATGCTGTAGTTGAACAGGTTCTCCAAACCAGTGTAAACAAGAGTTTTACAGAAGTTGTAATAAACAAATTGTACAGTTATTATTCAGCATGCAGTTGAATAAAATCACAATGGAAGCGTTTCTTCAACAAGAAATTGATTTTGGGTAAACGTTTTACTGAATACGTTAGACAACACCTTTGTGTTGCAGTTGTATAGGTTCTCCAAACCAGTGTAAACAAGGGTTTTATAAAAGTTGTGGTGAACACATTGTGCAATTATTATTCAACATGCAGCTGAACAAAATCAAAACGAAAGCGTTTCTTCAACTGGAAATTGTTACTTGGGTATCGAGGTTTTAACCTCTGCGATCGATAATATTCAAAATAATCATTTATGGCAAAATGAATTTGATTTTTTTTTTTTTTTGCTTTTGAGGATAGTTTCCGATTTTGACAATTTTGAGTTGGAAACTCAAGCGTTGATGATATTAACAAACGTGTATTCGTCGATGGATAATGAACTCATTTGTTCATTTCACTCGTACGTTGACGGTGAAGATTTTCAAAACAAACGCAATTCATCTACACTGGCTGACAGTCAGTGCGTGTGAGGGTAAATGAGAAAAACAGACACTGGTCTGGACGCTATTTTGCCGAACACTTTGTAGTTGCTCCCCTCTGGCTACGCCTGTGAACATACTACATTTATAAAATAAAGCTTCTGGTTAAAATGACTCATGGACTTGGACAAATTTTATTGATTCTGACAGTTTGATGAACATTTAACAGTATTTCGATGAAGATTTCACAGAAATATTGAGGAGAATAGGGGAAATGTAGGTAATGTCGGCCTACATGTCCCTAACTTGGGCCCATCGCTAAAAGTCTGCTATTTATCAATTTTATCTAGATGAACGCGTCATTAGGACGGTACTAATGGATATTTTTTGTCGCTATTGAAAATTTAGTCGATT